CTCTCTCTCTCTCTCTCTCTCTCTCTCTCTCTCTCTCTCTCAGTCCAGTACTAACCTGTGAAGTTGGCGCCTTGATGCAGGTACCTCGAAGATGGAGCTCGAGCTATGGCGCCACAGGTAAGTCTCGCTGGCCTCCGCCAGCCATCCCTCCCAACTCTGCTATCTACCACCTACTAGCGCCCAGCGCTGAAGACTACCCTACAGCTATGGGTGCCCAACGCCGAAGACTACAGCTAACGCGGAAGACTACTGCCTAGCGCTGAAGACTACTGCAGCACTCCTCCTGAGTGCTGCTGCCGAATCCTGAAGACTACTCGTGCCTACTGACAACTACCTACCCGTGAAGTGCATGGGAACTTCCTATGTACTACCGGGTGTGCCTCCTGACTGCAGGCGAGGCAGTCCAGGAGGCTGCTCTTGCCAATGCCTACAGGAGGCAGGGGCTGCAGCTGCAGCTCCTGCTCGAGCTGGCGTGGGGAACAGGTTATTTCTGGCCTGTTCCGAAACCCTGTTTTCGTGCCTGAGTCTTCGGTAGGTCGAACACAATGAGGGCCTGAAAATGGCCCTCCGTTTCAGGCTGAAAAGCCTCTGGGCCTGAAAGGCCCAGAAATATGCTGAAACGGAATAGGGCTTGCACGCCCTCGTATTTCAACTTTCAGGCTGAAACCACCGGGGCCTGTAAGCCCTAAGTTTTAGGATTTTAGGCTGAAAGTGCGGGACGGGCCCTGCAGGGCCCGTGTGGCTACGCAGTATGCCACMCCCCCCCCTCCTTGAAAGACCGAGCTTACCTGCGAGGGCGAAGTTGTTTGTCTGAGGGAGGGACCTCAGTCCGGGTGGGAGGGGCAGGTCGTGGAGGTCCCTTGGCTAACCTTTGACGCTCGTACTGAGCGTAGATCAGCGGTGCGGATGCTTTCAAATCTGCTCCTGAAATCCACCGAGTGTCGTCGGGATCGCATGCTCTGAATGTAACTTTGTACTGTCGCGACTTGCTGCCGTACTTGCGATCCGAGATGACGCGGTCAACCTCCTGATGACCATCCATAGATGGAGGGTCCTGCGATCGTCGGCCCGGGAAGTCGTCGCTCTTAGCTGATGTATATGTTGCCTGCTTCGATGCGTGAAAGACTGGATGGACCGTCAGATGCTCGGGAATGTTGATCACAAATGAAGGGCCATCGGGCTCATCGCCCGCGGCTGATGTCACAGACCATGGTCCAAACCACTTGGGAAGCAGTTTGCGTGAAACATCCTGTTCCAGTGCAAACTCTTCCGCGGAGACCCAAACCAGATCACCGGCACGGATGGGACATGGTACGCGACGCGTGTTGGCTTGCTGTTGCATGCGGACTTCAGCCTTTTGCATGTTCGCGCGGGCTTGAGTCAGTAATTCCCTGTACTTCTGGACGGAAGCGGGAGAGCAAGCAGCGTCAATGTCGGTTGGTCGAGGGAGGAGAAGGTCGGCGAAGATACGGCCTTTCCGTCCGCCATGGTGCAACTCGAATGGAGTCACGGCGATCGCCGGATGCACCGAAGTGTTGTAGGCGAACTCGATGTCGGGGAGGCGATCAACCCAATCTTTCTGGTCCGGACGGATGAGCGTACGAAGCATCATTTGAGCGGTTTGATGTGCCCGCTCCGTCTGCCCGTCTGTCTGTGGATGCCGAGCCGAACTTGGCTTCATCTTCGTGTCGGACTACTGCATGAGTGCAGTCCAAAATGCCGACATGAAGCGAGTGTCGCGGTCACTGACTATGTCTTCTGGTACACCATGGCCGCAAATCAAGCCAATGTGCAGGAGGCGTGCCAGCTCGGGAGCCGTGGAGTAGTACTTGCAAGGAAGAAAACGCGCGTACTTACTCAATTGGTCCACAACCGTGAAGATGCCATCGTGTCCGAGCCGCATCGGTAATGAGGTCAGGCCATCGGAATTGTTGTCGAAGTCGTGCAATGGTGCGGTTGACTCCGAAATGGCCAGCGAGTCGCGAGTCATGGTACTCCCCGAGAAGGCGAGTCCGAAGACGACGGTCTCGTGGGACACAATAAGTCGTTGCCTCTCGAGAGCAAGTACCCGTCGGCAATGCGATAGTGGCTGGCCGGCGGGTGATCCGAAGATAGTTGTGCATATAGCGTGGCAAAGTCCGGATCAGACTCATATGCCCGGATGAAGTGTCGCTGAAGCTCCTCGTCGAATGCGAAGGCATGATGTGTCATAGCGCAAA